AGATTGGTCTTAAAAGAGTTTAATGGAACACAAAAATAATACGTAACATTAACACATTATTTGTTTGCTGTTCACTATATAATTTACATTGATTGACAGGTTGGCTTCATCGATTATATAGTGCATCCTCTATGGGAGACTTGGGCAGACCTTGTATACCCCGATGCCCAGAACATTCTCGATAACCTCGAGGAGAACCGAGATTGGTACCAGAGCCAAATACCGAATAGCCCGCCCTCGCAAGAACTTGCAAACGCACCCGATTCAACAGAAAAGTTCCAATTTGATCTACGGTTAGAGGAGGACAAGGGCGATGCAGTTGAAGAAAAAGTAGACGCGTTTGAATTACAGATCACAGAAGATGACCTGGTGCTGTCTGACACCGATTCGGTGGCTACGCTTGTGAAGGGTGAATCTTCGAACACTCAATTGGCCAATGACACTGCTTTAGCAATAGATTCCACGTTAGCCATGCAGCATTTATAGTCACATGGCATGCATCGAACTGAATAAGGATAACGTACAATGATATTAGTAAATCATACCAGTCCAGCATCTGGAGGGAACATTTTTGCAGATTAAACATCTGCAGGCAATACAATGAAGATGAGTACTCAACTGATGTTTGCAAAATTGATCATCAACTTTGTTGAAACTACTGGTACTGATTCTGGTAGCTATCTTCTGAGAGACATCTAATTATTTTGGAACTCATGTTTATTTCATCGTTGGTTAAACCTGAGGGACTCGATTCATTTGATTGTTTCATTTAGGTATTAAAAGTGCTAAACTACCCAGTGTGTCTGTGCATATGGTGCCTACATTTCTATACAATTTAAAGTTCTGGATTGTTAAGCCTGAGCTGAAATTTAATGACCCGAATGAACATCAATACAAAAAGACAACTGTCATTCAAACAGTGCAGTATGTTGACTGTGTATATAACTGGCACCCTCAAGTTCAGCATTATAAACCAATTATTGTGGTTTCTATGAATAATGATTTTTTTTTTTTTTTTTTTTTTTTATTGGACGAAAATATAAATTGTGTTCATTTATATGCTAAAAACTCTTACTATGTTTCACCAAAATTAATAAGTCATCAAAAATGTTGAAGGATGCCACAGGGTGGTTTAAAATTGGGGTTGTAGATTGCTATTAATACGTCGTTCCTATTACTACAGCGTTTTCCACAGCACAATTTAATAGGTATGTTATTAATGCCAATTATTATTTGCCACAGTCAACCTAAATCAGATTACCAAATCTACCTTGCAAACCCTGGGTCCTTCTAGGCTGTTGATTTTCTTATATTCTTACTATATATGGAACTTTATCATTTCTGTTCATATGCTAGGTATTAATGTAATGCGACTACTGCAAGAAATTCATACCTAATTTTGAATTTAAACAATTCAAATAATTTAATTCCTAGCCAGCGTTTGCGATGAATAAAAAGGGTCATTTTTACAGGTTAAATGCACAGACCGACCTGCAATGTGTGCGACAGTATGTAAATGTTATTTATTTGTGTTTAGTTCAGGAAATTGGATGAATACAGGGTGTACATTGTTGGAATTCTGAATAGTTTAGTAATAGAACTTTAAAAATAGTGGGATGATAACAATAATGCAGTATTTATATAGCGCATGCAATAAACTGACTCGATGCGCTTTATATTATTACCCCCCAGTCGCTGGAGCAAACACTTTTGTAAGACACCCTTAGCTCCTTGGGGATCACAATTCCATAAGCGGATAGATTCTGTGCTTGATTTTAGTTGTCTGAGGACACAAGCGAGTTGCACAGCAAGGTTTGAACCCCTGATAACTGGGCTAGAAGTCCGAGCGACAGCCATTGGGCCAGCCACCTCTAATGGAAATGTGTATTATAACAATTATGAACAATTATGAAATTATTTAGCGTACAGAGAACATCTCACAATACAATTAGTGTCAAATCATGTAATATAGAAGAAAAAATGTTTTATGAAATCTGGTATTAGTGAAGGTGCTGGAATCATGTAGAGATTCTCCGATATTCTAACAATTTATAGATCAGCTTCATTTACATTCAGAACTTACAGTGTCTGTTTTTGTATGTCACACAGTAGTTATTCTCTTTTAGAAATATTGAATTGTATGATTAAGGAGTCAAACTAAATGGAAACCCAATATTCATATTTACATCACCAAAAGCAAATAATCTAATCGTAGGAATTGGGAATAAGTCTCGAATAGCAAACAAGCAGGCTAACTTTCTTAAAACCAGTGGCAGATCTAGGGATTTGATAGAGAGGGGCCCAGGGAGGGAACTTCACAGATGGAGGGTGCAGACCAACCTCAGAACCACGATGTTCGGTGCCCCACCCCCCCCCCCTTTTTCCCCCTTTTGAATCTGCCACTGTAAACTTCAATGGTTCACACTTCCTTCTGTATATTATTAAAATTTCAGGTTTAAATGTTATTCATTCATCTGTTATAGAATTTGGTGCCTGCATTTAATAATGTACCCTCTATTTAGTCTCCATTTGGATAGATTTGTGTTTATGTGCGTGTGTCATGGTTAGAAATCAAGCCAAAAAATGTTCAGGAGATTGTGTTACTTGAAGAATTGTAAACATGGTTGGTCACAATAGACGTTAGAGAAGGACTTACTATACAATTTTCACAGTACAAATGTTAAAGTATAATTGTAATCATACATGTAGACAAATAAATGTTATTGATTTTATATTGGATCTGGTTAATTAAGGACTTAGAATACCTCTTTCAGAATTGATAATGTGTTGAAGAAATAATGTTTTTTAATCCATGATATTGAAATTTGATCTTGTGCAACCACAACATTGTCACTTGATTAAAGTTCTAGAAATTTACCGTTTAAGAAAGATAAGTACGGTACCGAGACGATCTTGCTAAAGAGATCATTGATTGTCGTACGACCATCGCACAAGCAACCAAAGTTCTCTCCCTGTGACCGCTAGACCATGCGATGCCGTCTGGTGATTGTTTGTGGCAGCCTAAACAGATCGTCGTTAAAAATAATCGGTTGCACACGCATTGTCGCTTTTCGTACTTTATAGAATCGCATCGACTGTCGGTCGCAATGAGTGCCCGCCTAATACGTTCTGATTGGCCAGTTGTTTGGTTCACACTCTGGAAGGGGTACATTATGTCAACTCCCATCAACATTATACTAAACCTGACTCTGAAATAATCTTTGTTTACCTCAATTGTAACATATCAATTTGCCATGGAATTTAATAATTAGATTTCTGTATTTTATCTATTAAAAATTATGAAGGGAAAGAAAAACACTGCACTAGAAAAATGGTTGTTTTTATGTGGCGAATGTAAGAAAAATGTTGTAGGTCTACTTGTTGCCCTGATTATATAATTCAACTGTCAATTATTAATTAATTATCTTAAGCCCTGTCAAGACTTATCCAATTTTGTTTGACAAAAACTTGTGGCATGCCTAAATGACATCACATCATGACCATATATAGTCACATCATGAATATATATGGGCATGCAATAGTTTTTTGTCAAAGAAAATCTGATAGGCTGGACACAGCTGTAGTTAGATATTGCAAACTGGTTTTTGATAGTGGTCATTCCTACAGCAATGGTTTTGATAGTGTGTAGTTGTTTCTTGTCAAGTTACCAGTGAAGAATTTTGCCCACCATGTGACTGGCATTATACACTGCTCCTGTTTATTAGGATAGGCAAGTTTTAGAGTATTTGGCGTGTGTGCATCTATGAACCGGAACTGATAACTTGCATTATTAGAAACTAATGCAAGTGTCTCTACTATCGTTACTCATGTTTAGAGATGAATTATAGATAATAGAATTTAAGTAAGTAGTGCTGGTCAGCATTGATGTATGATCTGTTCATACTATATATCATGATATCCCTATATATGGACATGATGGGTTGTTGTCTTGAGCATATTTAGGCATGTCACCTGTTTTTTCTCAAGTAAAAATGATTTGAAAGCCTGGACGGGAATTAAGAAACTGAACAAGCGTATGATACAGTATTATGAATATTTAGATGCTGAAAATTGGTTTTGGATAAGATATAAATGTGAGTGAATAAAATATCTATTCATTAATTATAATTAAAATCAATGAATATTCATTCCTTTAATGCACATTATTAATTATTAATATGCATTAATGTAGACAATAAATGAATATTCATTAATGTAGTAAGTTGAATATTTATTCCTTAAATGCACAAATGTTTTTATATTCAGTAATACAGACAATAAATAAATATTCATTACTTTAGAAACAATAATTGAATATTCATAACTAGATCCAGAAAAAGAATATTCATAACTAGAGCCAGAAAAAAAATAATATACATAACTTGATACCTAAAAAAATGAATATTCATAACTAAATCAAGAAAAAAAATTAATATTTATAACTAAATTCAGAAAAAAAAGAATATTCATAACTGTAAATCCTGAATAATTATTGTAAATTGAGGGTGAAATGAATATTCATTAGTAAAGAACCCCAAGAAAATGAATGTTAACTATGTACAACCAGAGTAGATAAATAGATAACTTACAGTCATGTGAAAATAAGCCCATGACCTTAATGGCATCTGATTGGCTGATTTATTTAGAAGCATGAATGCAAGATATTTAAACTAAATATTTATAACTACAAGTAATTATCCAAATATTGGAACTGAAAATCCATATTTTTTTTAAGTGAGAAACTATTGAATTATCAGGTTACTGCCTGCTTTGTATATATCTTTATGAAAATAGTATTTTTCTTTTAATCTCATATTGTACGTTTTCACCTCTTATTTATTGTCATCGGAAAACATAAAAATCTAATTTCAATATTTTTCTAATAATCCCATTTTTTGAAACCCTGAACTTGGCACAACACTAATACTTTACCTTTAGGTACTATTTCTATATATTTTTTTAAAGAACCCTTAACATTTTGAATATTATTACTGTGTTGCCCCCAAAAGATAACCAATATATATTCCTGTCATATTTTTTTTATGAAATAGGAAATATGGGATAAGTGGTATATATAGAGCCAGTATTTCAATGTTTGCAAATTGAAATTTACCACTACAACTGAAATTCAAACAATTTGTTTTGGGGTGTTTTTATTTTATTATACACTTAGTACCACAGAGAAAAAGAAAGTCATCAACTCTGAAATTTTTGTCACCAGCAATAAAAATTGGTGGATATCTCTAACAATAACTTTTTTTTTTCATAAATATTTATAATTCAGAATATTTAATTAAGAATCAGTTTTGTGATTATTCTCTGAAAAAGGTTCTCATTAATTTCCTTCTTATGAAATGTTATAACACAAATTAAGTGGAATTACAAACAACTAGAAATAAATAAAATTAACATGAGAAAAAGTGTGTTGTATGTTTATGATTGTGAATCGTGTATTTCCCATAGAGAAATTGCATTTTATGCGGGCCAGTAGCAGGGGGTGCGATGGAATAATGCACCCTGAAATTCGAGACCCTTCTAATTCGAGACCTGTAGAATTTCCATTAATTCAAATAAAATTATGCCAAATGGTCTGTGCAGTAAAATCAAGGATAGATTACAGTACTTCCAAATTCCTTAGAAAAAATGAACCCCACATCAGACAAATGCCGGGTGCAGTGTGTGGCCGGCTTTACAGAATATAACCAGGGGCAGATCTATAGAAAACTCTGGGTAGGAGCCGTGCCACGTGCGAAGCACCGATCGGGAGTAGGTGGATGATGGTGCTGATGAGATTTTTGTTTAAAAATGCTGAAGATCGTACTCACTGATGGAATTTAAATCGAATTAGCTTGTTTTGCAGTAGGCCTGTGGTAACATGCTCCCCTTTTTTTCTGGACATTTTTCTTTTCCTCTTTCTTTTTTTATTTTTTTAAATTTTTTTGTGATTGGCGGTGCAGAAGCCTTTGAGGGTGATGGAAGAACTAATGCGATCGAGTCAGCCCATCGAAGAGAGGTTCTGTAGTTGGATTGCATAGCGAAGGCCTCGGCAAATTGGAAAAAAAGCAGGTTGGTGTTGCGGTACAGGAGGTGGGGAGGGGTGGGAGGGCAGAGGTCCTCCCCAGAAAGTTTTTGGTTGCTTGCTCGGAAATGTACCTTCCTTCATTCTCAAGGATATTAATGAATATAGATTTCTTTAAATTTTTAATATTTTCTTGTGTAAGTATGGAAAATTAATGATGATGATTCTAATAATGATGGTGATGACAATTATGAGGCCGCTGATGACATGGTGGTGGGATGCATTAGTTTGAGAGAGAAACGGTAGGAGAATTATGTAGTCAGGGAGAGAAGAAGGCCTGACAAAATAATAAAGGACTTGATGTTGTAGTAGGCTATTGGGGGTCGCCCGGAAATTTTTTTTCCAGATGCACTTTCCTGTATTCTGAGAAGTAGGCCTATGTTAATGACTTTGCAAGCATGCACCGTCAAAGCGTTCGATCTTGTAGACTAGAGTAAGATGCCCTGATTAAAATGCGTTGAGCTTTAAAATTAAGGCTTTCCCAACCGTATGTGAGGTCTCCCTGACGAGGTCCTAGTCCACCTCAGGGTGGCGCCAGGATTGACCAGACGGGGAGGCCGAGGTCTCCGACGAGGGGCCAATTTTCACAACGAGATCAAAGTGGGCGTGGTCGGGCGTCGCTCAAAATCTTTCGAAGGTGATCCAGGGGACGAAGCCCTCGAAAAATATGACAACTTAGGAATTTAGAGACTTGTTTAATCAATTTGGGGGAATTAGGCCTACTCCAGGCAGTGGTTTATAATGGGCGAGGCAAAGTACCCCTCCCCACCAAAAAAAAAAATAAATAAAATCATCAGTTCCGACGTTTCTATTTAGGATAGTTTGTACTCCTATTTATACATCTCTACAGGCACCTGCTTTACTGTCGTCTGGGTCAGTCGGGTTTGGGGTTAAAGTTCGGGTGAGAACGGGAAAAAGTTACATAGGTTTCTTACCGGTATTGTATCCGCGGTTGGTCCAGGGGTGGCGCCAGTATTTGCCCGACGGTGGGGTGGGGGCGAGGTCCCCAACGGGGGTCCGATGCCCCCGACGAGGGGTCAGATTTCCCCGACGAAAGCAAAGTGGGCGTGGTCGATAAAAGGTTTCGAAAGTGGTCCAAGGGGCGAATCCCCCGAAAATGTTAACAATTTAGTGGTTTCAATGGCTTATTTAATCGATTTTAATACTAATATGTAGAAAATACATATAATTTGTTTTCTCTCCGACGAATTGTGCTTTTTCCCCCCAACGGGGGGTCTGAGGCTGTCTCTTATACACATAGATGTGTATAAGAGACAGGGCCTCTGCCTGGCTCTGGACCCTTAATTGCGTCACCCACCTGCATCGTCACCCAACGCTTTAAGAAACAGACTTTGGCGTTGGTCCACTGCATTAATGTAGTTGACTCAAAATCAAGTAATGAAATTACTGAAGAAGCTACAACAATAATAAAGCATACATATAAAAAACTCCCAATAAATCGCAGATGTGCATTTTGAGCGTATAAACCATGAATAAACTTCATTCGTTTGACAATTGTAGTTTAAAAACAGAAAATTACTACCACTGTTAAACGAATAAGCAGTGGTGCCATGATCATGTATGCATGTGGCGGACGTATGTACAATAAAAAAAAGATGCTCCCTGCTGCTAAGGCATGCTGCTTTTGCTCCTCAAAAAACATTGCAATTTGCAGCGTTTGATTATCAGCGGATATCAGCAGGCGGTCCGCGTTCAACACCCGTTCGGTCTAGAACTGGAAATGGCCGTTCCGGATCTATCCCGTGGTTTCTTGTTGTTTTTTTTTTTTTTTTTTTTTTGGGGGGGGGGGGGGG